AGACCGACCTGGTGACGGGCTGTTCAGGAACTCCAAAGTAAGGGTGGGAAACTCCTGCCCACGAAACTTTTTCATGAATCGCTCTCACTGGTGAAATGCTGCCCCCTGGCGGTGAAGGTTATAGTTAAAGGATAGTGAGAACCTCTTTACTCCTCAGGTGTCCACGAGGGTAATCTTCGTTTCTCTTTCCTGATCTGAACAGAAAGAGAAAAACCTGGAAATGAATCTGATGGTCGTCAAATCTGAGACAGGCTGTGCTCGCTTTAACCGTAACCTTTGTGACGTCAGACCGATCTGAGAGTACAAAAACTGTAACAAGCTGCGTGTTTACAGCAGGGTGAGCCTGAGCTCACACACAGAGCTCACACCGGACATTTAATCTGAAAATCCAGCACAGGAACAGGAGGGACGGGGGAAAGGAGAACAGTCAGTTTAATAATGACACATGTAGGCTCAAACAGACACGATGTCCTTTGCAGTAACAGCACCTGTGTGTGTGTGTGTGTGTGTGTGTGTGTGTGTGTACACTCTCAGACACTCTTTATAAAGTAAAAGTCCTGCTGTCATTTAGTGAAAGTAAAACAATTGTAAAAATACTGAAAGACACTAAACAGCACAGATAAATACAAACAGTGATGACAGACTAATCTTCCATCTTTTAGTTTTTTAAAATTTTAATATTTGTGAAAAGTTTTCAGGGGAAAGGTTTAAAGCAAAGTCTCAATAAACGTAATTTTTCCTTTGATTCCAGTTTTATTTTTATTTAAATGTTTTTTAGTTTGGATGGTCACAGTGTGACGTGATTTACCTGAAGCACCAATGATCAAGCAGGATCAGGTGATCAGGGACAGAAACATAACTCACATTTTACTGATTTTGCGCGTGAGTGGTAAAACTTCTCAACGCGTGTAAAAACCTCTGTGTCCTGGAGTTACGTTTCCACGCTATGATTCAAATTTAGCGCCGAGTTGCACAGGAAGCATCAGTGATTCATAAAAACTAAACTTTGATTGTCAGTGTTTCCGTGCCGGTGGGAGCTGACGAGGCTGATCACATTTCAGCGAGATTTACGGCGGAGTCTGGTGCGCCGGTTCATCCTCCAGGACAGCACTGCGGGAGAGGACGGTCATCTTCCCGGAGAAGAGGCGCCATGCCCCGGCTGGCAAGAGGCGCCATGCCCCGGCTGGCTCGGTCGGTGTCCTGTCCTGAAAACGTCCCTGCAGAATACGAACGTCCACGAGCCTGAGCGAAATAAAGAGCAAGTCACTTTCAAAATAAAAGCTCCGACAGATTTTATTTTTTTTGAACAACAAATATACATAGCAATGTAGTTATAGAAAGGGTATGAAAAATTTCGCAGCTTGCATTATCTTTTATAAGTCATGTATACAAATACAAGTACGTAAACTGAGAGTTATAACCAAGCAGTAACGTGAAGCACCAAACCTGCAGTTTCTCTGACGTCCACTAGAGGCTCCAGCATTGAGTCAGTCCCCATAGACTCCAGTGTTAAAACTTTACAGCAGAACTACACGTTTACAGTCTGATATACAAACTGATTGCATTATTAGGGGCGTGGCCGCTGCGACTGACAGGTGGATGGTGACACAGGCACTGAAATGTTCTGGGTGGTCCCAGAAACCAGGATGAATCTTTCTTGTCATTGCACTGAGGTACAGTTCATTTCTGCTCAGTGATAAATCAGATGAAATGTGGAATGAGGCGTTAACGTGGCTTTCTTCGCAGATTCCTACGCAAACGTTCAGCCTCCTCTCGGGGTTTAGTAATCTTCTTCTTGCTTTATTGGGATTTTATTTTGAAGGTGCGGAGAGGAAGTGGTTCTTCCTCCCCGCAGCTTGACGGTGGGGACCGCGAGGAGCTCGATGGTGACTGTGCACATCGCTGTGTGAATGACAGAGGATGCATGGAGGTCTCCGGCAGCTGGCAGCCACAGATCCGTGTCCTCCTCGGTGCAGCAGCGGCGGCAGCGGGCGTCCTCTCCGCGGTGAGTCTGCAGCTCTCCTCCGGGCTGCTCTTTGTTTTCATGCCTGCAGT